CTCCATGATATTGGCTCTGTTATTCAGGGTCCAGATTTTTCTTTATCTCATCCATTGTGTTTTTCATATCTAACATTTGTGATTGGTTTTTCTTTGTAGTTTCAATCTCTTTTGTGAAGAAGTAACTGATTTCATTGCACTGTCTATCTGTATTTTCTTGTAACTTGTTGAGTTTTTTAATGATAGCTATTTTGAATTCTCTGTCATTTAGATTATAGATTTCTGTGCTTTCAGGGTTGATTTCTGAGTTCTTGTCATTTTCCTTCTGGTCTGGAGTATTAATATATTTCTTCATACTGTTTGATGGTGTGGATTTGTACCTCCGCATAGTGATAGTATCTGATTGCAGCTTCCACCTGGCAACACTGGCTGGGGGTCAAGAGCTGTGTATTCTGAGCTTGCTGTGACCCCTGGCGTCTGTGCCTGTCTTTAGAATCTACGCTGATAGGTCCTGCCTGTGATTTCCGGTTTGCTGGCTCACAGCTGCTGTTTTTTTAACCTAGGTGCAGGCACTCTGGCTGACTGGCTGAGCTGGAGCGCCAGGTAGGGGAAGGGGTGCTTTCTTTCACCTGCATGATCCCAGGGGTGTTCTTGCTTTGCCCTCACTATCTTCTCTTCTGGGGTGCTGGCTTGATGAAGACACCCCCACAATAGCTTAGTCACCTCTGCGTGGGGCTTTCCCACGGGCTGTGAGGGAACTTGGAGAGTGAAGGTGTTCCTCAGAGGGCTGCCCCTCCCCCCTTTCATCTCAGAGCTGTGTGTGGTCCTGCACCTTGGGTCACTGCTTTTGCGGGAGGGAGAGGAGTCCTCTTACCCCCTTCCACTTTCCTCTGGGGGTCCCGCACCTCCACCTTCAGATGTATCTCTGCATGAATCTCTCAGACGTCTTTTGTGTTGTGTGAATGTCCTCTGTTGGTATGTGAATGTCCTTTTTGTTGTATCTTAGAGGGGAGAGTCTAAGGGAAGAGTTCACTCTGCCATGATGCTGACATCACCTTTCTGGTTAGTATTTTTGCAGAGAATTTCCAAGATTACGCTTCCTCTTCTTCACTAAACCTTAACATAGTAGCTTTAGTCTCCACTAGATGTTGCTTGCCTTTCTCAACTACTACTATGATGGTTGCCAGATGTTTCCATCATTCCTTCCACATTTATTAATTAACATTCTACCTTAAGGAAGAATTTTCCCTTCTTCTCATTTATATATTTATTTGTTTATTAATGACAGTATGGATTTGTGGATTCCTATTTTATTTAGTTGGTTCCTATTCAATACTTAATCCAATACATGTATTATTTGTTTTGATCCTCAAATTTTCCTAGATTTGGCCAATAGAAGCCCCTGGAAGTTGGCTCCTATGTCTTATTGACCTGTCCTAATCATCGTTTGAACATTTCCTTACCTTCTGGCACAAGATATCCAGGCTCATCTTGTACTTTTCCTGCCTCAGCCTTGGAGTCAGTCATTTCTCTAAGAAGCTCTTAAGGATAATATTTAGAAACCAAGATTACCACAATTAGTATTCCCTCTTAGCAGACATAGCCAGAAAATACATACATACGTCTATTTCTGTATTTATCTTGTATATATATTAAAATAAATGAATTCGTACTGATACTTACAGTTTCAAAGCAATACCTCAGAGTTCTTTTTAGCCTTTTCTTTTGATGGTAGTGAGACTTTTGACAGTACTTTCTTCAGTAGTGAGAAATCTGGGTGTCATTCTCAATTTACTCATTTGCTTCATGTAACACAGCTCTCTTCCACACCACCTCCACATCCTCCCTCCCCCGACACCACTGTGCGGTAGATCCATTGCAGACTTCTCTGCTAGGAAGGGCAGGTGGGCAGGGAAAGGCTATTCCACTCTTAAAGTTTATTTTATCCAGTTAATGCATTTTATTTAAACATGCCAGTCTTGAACACTGGCATTTTCCTAAGGACAAACGTGAAGTCTCTGACTTTAAGTCATAACTGGTGTTCAGACTGGTTCTGCATAGCCAATGTGTGAAACATGTCAACAAAATGTAGGTAAGATGGCCTGACTGTCTTGGCCCAGTCCTCAGCTTGGCAGGTGTAAGGACTCAGTTTTATCAGTGCACTTGTAGATCAGTCAGGTTTTAAGGGACCAGTTCAATGTCATTAAATTCACAAGACATTAGACTGATTGATAAGCCAGAATGCGTGTTTATTAGTTTAAGTTGAGAATGTAATTGCCAACTAAACTAAAATACTTGTATTGACTAATAACATACACTCTTCCTAATTGGAAAGTGTAGTTAGAACATTACAGGTCAGATGTTTTCTTGGGTAATACAGAATTGGAATGTAATTATTTTTGTATAATTTTACTAGAGAGGCATCCAGTCCTGTTCCAGGAATATACTTGCCAGTCAGTAAAGAATTTGTATATATATGGGTCAATGTCTTCCCATCATTCCCTTTCTCCAAAGATCTCACATCTTTGTTTTTGGTTTTTCCCAACTTTTATTTTGAAAAATTTCAAAATTGCAGGAAAGTTGAAAAAAGTAAGACAGTGGCTATGCATATATCTTTTACCTAGGTTAACAAATTATTAATATTTTGCCACATTTGCTTTATCTTTCTCTGTGTATGTGAATGCATGCACACCCAACACACACACACACTCGTGCACATATTTTTTTTCTGAGCCATTTGAAAATAAATTGTAAACATATGACATTTCATTACTAAATACTTTATTATGTAGCTCCTAAGAACAAGGGCATTTTCCTGGCATCACTCCTAAGAAATTTAAAATTGATAATAATAGAATTACCTGATATACTATTCATATCCAAATTTCCCACTTGTTTCGATAAATATCTTTTATTCCCTTCCACTTTTTTGGGTGGGGGGGGAGGTTTCCAGAATCCAATCAAGGATCCCACATTACAATTAGCATTTTTTGTCTCCTTTAATTTAGAACAGAGACGCTCGCTCTATTTTGCTATTGTGTTTGTTTTTGTTTTTGCTTTGTTTGCTTTTATGGCATTGACTCTTGAAGAATCAAGGCCAGCTTTCTTATAGAATGTCCCACAATCTGGATATTTCTTATTGTTTTCTCATGATAGACTCATGGAACACCTTTTTGCAAAAATATGATATAGATGTTGTGTACAGCCCATTGCATCATAACAAGGAGCACATAATGTCAGGCTGTCAAATTATTGGTGACGCTAGATTTGACGCTGGTCACGCTGCTGTCTGCCACTTCTCTCCATTGTAAAGTACTGTGATTAATATGTTAGTCTGATATTTTATGTTGAGACTATGTAAATACCCATTTTATTAACCATTGATGATTCTTGCCTGAATCAGTAGTTAAATTGGTTATTTCAAAATGTTTTCACAATTCTATTATTCCCTTTATATTTATTAGTTAGCAATCTTCTATAAAGGGCAATTTCCTTTTTCCCTGTGCTTTTTTTTTCTATTTTTTTACTGCAAACTCCTAGAATCTTTGTTTATTCAGTGTGTTATATCTGTTACTGTTATTCTTCTTTTCAAAGCTCAAATTGTCCCAAATTTGTATTTCCCTTTGACATAGCTCCTGTGTTATTTTGACATGCCTCCGTCAGTCTTTAGGCGCTACCTTGGTTTCTCCATACCATATTCCAGGCCCAACCAATTTAATTATAATTTTAAATAGTCACATAATACTCTAGTTTATGCATTGAAATTTGTGTAATTGTACATCCATTGAATATTTAAGTTTTTTGTTGTTAATGATATTGCTATCAAACATTTTATGCACATAGACGTGTTTTTCCTTTTGGTGAGATTATTGCCTACAACAGATTTCCTAAGTGTTTCTAAGTTCCTGGGTTAAAGAATGTGGATAGTGTTTTATAAAGGATCATGCAGCTGTAACACTATCACTGGCATTGTCTGTAGCTTTGTTTTACATGCATTTGCCAGCACTGTTGCCATTGCCTTCCATTTTTACTAGTGTTTTGGTGTGTTGTTCAACCCTCTATGCCTATGTTTTTTCTTACAAAATGAAAATTTTTGCTTATTGAAGAGATGAAAATAGTGACTCATAATTTTACTTTAGATTTCTTTGATAGCTGTGGTGCCATGTTCCATATAATCCAGTTTTATCTCCTTTGTCCATGTCCAGAGAATTTACTCTGAATGATGCTTCTCACTGTCTCATTTTTTAGTAAGATGTGCAAATAAGCTTTAAAGCAGTGATTCTTTAGCCAGAGGCTTATATCTGCAGCTTTCAGAGCACATGCGTGAACTTGGTCTCATCCTGGAGATTCTAATTCATTTGGTTTGGAATGAAGCCAGGCATTTTCTGTTTTTAGAAGTTCCACAGGTGATTCTTTCTGATGCCCATCATTGTTTGACAATCACCACTTAGGAGATTTTAAACATTAGTTACTCTGTAGAGTCGTCCCTAAGTATCCTCGGGGGATTAGTTCCAGGATACAAAAATCCGCAGATGTTCAAGTCCCTTAGTCGGCCCTCTCTACCTGTATCCACATCATTGGATGCGGAGCGCACAGATATGGAGGGCCAACTGTATATCAACAATCTCCTGTTGCTTAGAAATCATTCACAAATATTTCTTTTTTATTACTTGCCAATTTAATACAGTATGATAATCCTAAGTCAGCAAATGTTAATTATTCAACACGAAGTCAGGATCCAGTTTTTCTTTCGTTTTTTTGCCAGTTTGATTTTTGTTTCTTAGTGAAATAGACATAATAGTTTTTTTGGATTATAGACGTACTTTGTTTCTTTATATCTTTTGCCTAAGTAATGTGATTTCGTAATGCAGTCATATATCTAATAACTGACATTAGTTAGAATTCTTATATTCTCATTGGAGTCTATTTTTCTGATAAATTGAGAAAGTAATAATAGTCATTTCCCATTCAACAATATACATATTAATGTCTTCCTAACAGTGTAGGGTTAAGGAATTTTCATTTGAACTTAAAACTAAAATTCATCTTTTTATTTACAGGGCAAGTCTTTCACTTCAGAATGGTTTGCAAAGTATTTGCAATCATCAGCAGCTGCTTGTTGGGTAAGTTTGAATTTTTAGAAAATAATTTTATTTCATTCTGAAGAATTGTGGTACCATTTTTTCCCCAGATAAAAGTTTTCTCTCTAAGTAGATATATCTTTTTGGTCATGTTCTATAAGAAGAATAAACCGTTTCTAGTGGGCTGAAAGAGAATACATAAAGAAAATGTTATTCATTTCACATTTCATTATACACAAATTAAATGTGTCCAAGCTTATTCAGCTGGAATTGAATGTTAGGGGAAACTGATTGATACTGTTATTTAGTAAATGTTTATTGATGACCTACTGTGTGCCAGGTCCTGTTCTCGGATCAGTTTATGTATTTCAGGAAAAGACAGAAAAAAAACCCTTGTGGAATTATATTCTAAGTAAATGTCAGGTGGTGCTAAGTGCTGTAAAGACCAATAAATTAGGATAAAGGGCATAGAGAGTGCAAAGGGCGTGCTATTTTATATAGGGCAGTCAGGACAGGCATCTCTGAGAGGGTGATATCTGAGCAAAGACCTGAAGGAAGTAAAAGTGAGCCATGTAAATATCTAGGGGAAGAGTTCTAAGCAGAGACTGCAGCACGTGCAGAGGTGCCAGAGCAGGAGCTCTGTGGTGTGTTCATGCTTTAGAAACAGGAAGGAGGCTGGAGTGGCTGGAGCAGAGTGAGCAGGGAAAGTGGAGAGATGAGTTCAGGGATGAAGGGACTGGCTGTGGCAAGGACCTGAAGTTTATTGTAGGGGAGATAGAAGGATTTTGTGCAAAGGAAGACATGATGGAACTTTTAGGTGTTGAAAGGATCACTCTAGCAAGGAGGATAGATTTTGTTGGGGCAAGGACAGAGGCAGGTGTTAGAGTAATCCAGGTGGGAGCTCGTGGACCCATGGACAAGGATGGACCACGGAAACGAGAGAAGTGTTCAGCTTCTGGATGCACTTTGAAGATTGAGCCAACAGGATGTACTGATGAGTTGATTATGGGAAGGGAGAGAAAGAAGATCATTGCAATGTTTTCGACTTAACTAACTGTAAAAATGGAGTTGCCTTTTCCTAATAGGGAAAATCGAGAAAAAAGTTTGAGGGGCAGACTCAACAAATGATCTTATTTTATTGTTCATAAAACAAATTACTTAAATAAAATGGATTAGATTTATATGCATAAACTCTAGTATAGAAACAAATTATTATTCTTTCAAATATAATTATTCTACTTAATAGTTTTCTTAAATGTCATGCTGTAAGGTTTTAGTTCTTCTTTCAACTGCTTGTCTTTGCATTTTCACCTAAAATTTATAATTAAAATGTACACATTATTCATCTGCCATATGGAAAGTTCTTTTCTTCTTAAATAAGAGGAAGGGTACTAAAAAGCAAAAGAATACCCCTAAAAAGAATTTGTAGAGTAGATAAAATTAAAAACCAAGCATAATTTTTATATCAACTTTTGCTTAGGGTATTAAAGTCTGTGTTACATTTCTTTGCCATTGTTCTCTTGTAGTTGTATGCCAATCTAACATCTTGCCAAGCTCTCGGAAACATATGTGTGATGAACATGAATTCTTATGACCCTGCCACTTTTGATGCATGTCGACTGTTTCAGTTTATCTTTGAAAATACTGTTGGACTGCGTACTGTTCATTCTGTTTCATTTTGGTAAGGATATTCTGATTAATAAACTGTCATTTTGACCAAATTCAGTGCAGTTACTTTCACAAATATATACTAAGAAATATTCCCCATTGTTAAAACAATTGTAATTTTTTATAGGAGACAGAATCTTCCATGGCTGTTCTATGGAGACCAGCTAGGATTAGCACCTCAAGTACTCAGTACTACACCTCTTCCTACAAATTTCAGTTTTAGAGATCAAAACCAGGTACGAGTCACTATATTATTAAAGGATAACTACGTTTTGATTTACAATTTAAAATGGTAATAAGAATGTTACTAATCATAATTCTTGCTTCTTTAGGTTGTTTTTAAAAATTTAATTACTAAACTAAATCCAAATATCATCTGCGTATAGGAACTAAATTGTATAGAGTTTGGCTGTCTTACTTGAGTATATGGATACCTCTGGATCATGTGGTTATGGCAGCAAGTAGTACTTGTGGGGTTGGGGAGGGTAGTTTTCATCGCCAAATGCAGAACAGTCTCTGTCCTTCTGTATCTCCATGTTTTGAAGAAGGGCTTCCAAAGATTGATTGGGACTCTGTGCCATTTCCTCATCACTTCACAGGTCCAAATTTTCGTCTCCAACTTTTTGACCTTCTAGAATGAAAGAATAGATTATTCCGTCCCCTACTCACCCCCTCCACACGAACACATTTAACAAATTTGAAAGGACGTTATCTGTCACTAGAGCATCCTCTTACTTCTGAAATAATAGTTTTTGTGCAAAACAATAGTCCATTTATTTTTGGTATGTTTAATCATAGAGATACTTAGATTAATTTTGCTTCAAAGTAAAGATAATTGAATTTAACATTTGATCTCTGGAAAAAGAAAGGATCGGTCAACAATGAAAATTTCTTTACAGACTATTATATTACTTTCAGAGTATGTGACATTATTTTATTCTTGTTTCTCTTTAATCAGAATACAAAACTGAAGTTTGTTGCTGCTTCCTATGATGTAAGAGGAAATTTTCTCAAGTGGCAAACTTTAGAAGGAGGTGTTTTACAGGTGAGCATGATTTTAGTTAAAGAATTACTATGTGCCTTATTTTTGATTGAGTCAAAGACTAGATTATTGCTTGACTAGAGCATCAGTTGCATGCTACAGTTGATTTTTTCCTGTGCTTTAAATAGGAATTTTTTTAAAAGTAAGTTATGACTTTATAATAAAGATGTTCCCTTAACTTTTCATACCCTTAATACATTAAATAACTATTATATAAAGCATATATCCGTGTTGGGGCTTGAGAACCCTTGACTATAAGCAAAGAAAACATTTGTGAGAGATATTTTATCAGTTGTATTCTTCTGCTGTAGCTTTGTCCAGACACAGAGACAAGACTAAATGCTGCTTATTCTTTTGGAACAACCTATCAACAAAATGTAAGTTTCAACTATTTTAGACATTTTATATTTTAGCTTTGTTTTTCACATCAGCAATAATTGGAATAATCTTTGAATTTTTGAAATTGGAAATTTTTTTATACTAATGAATAATTTCACTCAATATATTTTTTTATTATCTGGGTATAGAAAATCTTAATTTAATCAGCATGAAGAGAGTACCTTGTCATCTATAGAGTCTTAAACATCAGATAATGTTAGATATTCATAATCAATTGTTTATTTGCTTCTAGGCATATAGATCTTAAAATGATGTCTACTTCTGAGCATTTTGGAATAAAGTAAAAATATTACTTTATTTTTAGTGACTAATAAAAATGTTATTACTCTCTCCTCCCTCTAGCCCCCAGTAACAAATAAAAATGCTTCCTTTTCTCTCTGCATACTTTTCTTTTTGCTTCCCTCTCTGACTTTCTTCTTTTGGTAACCCATTTTGAAATTATAGTATGGTACAAAGGAATATTGTGAGCCATTAAACATTTGAAAGATATTCACTAGTCTACAAAAATACTTCTTGATAAAATGTATATATACACGCCATAGAACAAAACTGTAATTCCAGTTTTGTTAAAACTGTAATGAAAAATACCATCATGGAAAACAGATTAGAAGAAAATAAACATTTGTAGCAGTGTTTATCTCTGGATGGTGGAATTACAGGTGATTTTTTTTTTTATATTTTCCAAATTTTCTATCATGAATATGAATTTACTTTTGTTATCAGAAATGACTTATAATTAAAAAAAAAAAAAAAGAAATGTGGCTGTGTGTCTACCTTGGGCCAGGAGAATCAGCATTTGTTAGCTGCCTGCTCTTGTGTGTTCAGCATTTTATCATCCCATCTGATCCATGGAATAACTACGTGAGAAACGTTATCTGTGTTTCACAGATGAGGAAGTGGTGCTCAGGGGGATTAGGTAGTTTACTCAAGGTCTCGCGTCAAGCAAACTGTGGAGCCAGTGTTCTTTTAGGCTTAAAAACCATGGTTTTTCCATTGAACCTGGCTGCCTCTCAAGTACTTCACAGCCTAGTAGGAAAGACAGCTTATAGACAAAGAATTGCAAAGAATGTGATGTGTCGTTCTATAGGTGTATACAAGGTACCATAAAAAGAAGGGGTCATTGGTAGTTCCTGGGGAAGTGTAGAAAGGCTTCACAGAGTGAGTGACAGACTGGTAGGGGGCAGTGGGAGATAAGTGTGGCTCTGTTAAGGGGAGCCAAATCATAGTCAGCGTTGTATATCAGGAGAAAGAATTAGGATCTTATCCCATAGGACAGGAGTTTTTAAACCTTTTCACTGTTGTATACTTACTGTTGAGAATGAAGGCATACCCTCTCCAGCTAGACTGTAGGACGAGAACCAGGCAATTCTTTTTGTTAGTATTTTTGGCCCTTGTAAAAGAAACATATTTATAGTATTCACGTTTTGGAAGGCACATGGAAATGCATATAAACAAGATAGTTTAAAGATACTTTATTTTACAAAATTAAAAAAACATTCTTTTGAAGATAAATAAATAAATATGCTTTCTAATTTTCAATTGGGATGCTTTTATTTTTTATTTTATTTTCCAGTGTGAGATTCCTCTCTCTAAGATCTTAACCGACTTTCCCACTCCTATATTTTATGATGTGTACCTTGAATATACTGATGAAAATCAACACCAACATATTTGGGCTGTGCCTGTGTTAAATTTAAATCTTCAACACAATAAAATATTTGTGAACCAAGGTAAGACATCCATACATACCACTCTTTCTCTGAGCTGAAACCAACAAATAAGTCAATCAACATGATAATTTAATAAACCATAGGTTATAAGAAAGGTCATGGATTCTCTCTTATTGTGTGGTTTTATATAGCATGCCAAAGAGTAAAACCGTAAGATTGCTGATATATTTAGAAATATTTACTCAGTGTGTCAGACTTATTGTTAAGAAATTATATTATTGCTAAAAGTGTATCCTGATAAAAAATTAGTAGAACTGTAAACTGGGACTTCTTCAAGCTGTCCTCAACTGCTTTTTGGACAAATTAGTTTCTTTTGTTATTTCCCATATTATAAAATCCTGTTTATTCAGGTGATTTGCAGGGAAAATCCTTCCAAATTGATGAAAAATCCAGGCAGAAGATGTTCAAGTGAGGTGAGGAAGGCTGTTAGCAGGAATTTCTTACAGAAGTAGCTGTTTTTGCAGCCATCTTAACTAAAATAAAATGTACTAATTTTGTGTTTTAAATTTGTTCAGTAAACTTCTCCTTGAGAGCCATCTTGAACAGTTTGAAGGCATTTTTTTAATGTCATCTTTTTTTTTTCTTTTTACGATAAAAGATGGCAGCTCTAGCAAGTGGCTTCTGACTCGGCGTATTTTCTTAGTGGATGCAGTAAGTGGACGAGAAAATGACTTAGGAAGTCAGCCAAGATTAATTCGAATTGCTACCCAGATATCACTGAGGTAAACAAGTGTCTAATGCACTAAATTAGGCTTGGAGTATATGGGAAGAGGAAACTGTATATAATGAATGTCATAATGAAAGTGTTTATCAGTAAGTATCAGATGAAAACCATAAGGACAACTGAATTGGAACAATACATAAGGATTTTTTAGATATCTGTGTAGACTGATAGACACCAATGGAGGTGAGGACCAAGAAGAAAATTATATCAGACGTGCTTGAGGAGTTTTGTCAAAATTGCTGTTCTAGCGGTACTCTAGACCTGCTGAATTAGAATGAGTTGAAAGGTGGAAGGAAGGAGAATATCAGTGGGCTGAAACTGGTGTGGTGGAAAGAGCCCGCCAGGTGATTGCAATAGGCAGGCCTCATCTCTCCTCGTCTCCTTTCATAGCTGCTGTTCTAGATGGGCCCTTGTTAATTATCAACACCTCCCTCTTCCTAGGATACTTTAATGACCACCTTACCTTAAGGTAGTGCCATGTAGCCCTTGTTTCTCTCTTTTCCAGTGTGAGATTCCTCTCTCTAAGACCTTATCTGACTTTCCTACTCCAATATTTTATGGTGTGTACCTTGAATACACTGATGAAAATCAATACCATTATCTTACCTCAGTCTGGCACGTTAATATATGTTATTTTTTTCACTGTCTTTTTTTGTTTTATTTATTGCAGTAACATTGGTTTATAACATTGTATAAATTTCAGGTGTACATCATTATACTTCTATTTCAGCATAGATTACATCATGTTCACCACCCAAATACTAATTACAACCCATCATCACACACATGTGCCGAATTATCCATTTTGCCCTCCTCCCTCCCCCCTTCCCCTCTGGTAACCATCAATCCAATCTCTGTCTCTATGTGTTTGTTTGTTGTTGTTATTATCTACTACTTAATGAGTGAGAGCGTACAATATTTGACCTTCTCCCTCTGACTTATTTCACTTTGCTTTCACTTTGCTTTTCATAACAATCTTATGAGGTAGGCAGTAGAAACTTTGTCATATATCTTGCTGAAATCCAAATGTACTGTGTTTTTAGCATTTCCTCAATCTGCTAATGTGTATCCCTAGTGAAAACGAAATTGACCATAGTCAAGCCTGACTGGACCTTGGTGAAACCATGCTCGCCCCTGGCACTTTCCTTTTTAAGTTTACAAACTGTACGTTACTAATGCATTGAATTCAGAAAAAAACAGTAATGAGTGCTGTGTGCCATAAACATTACTAGATGTGACACATTTTTTTGTTAGGAATTCATCTTTCTCTTGAAAATCAAGATATTATCTGCCTTTCTCTAGGCTTCATGTAACACTGCTCTTTTGAGTATTCCTCAAAGATGGTTCACAGTACTTCAGTGATTTCATTGTGAACTTCATAGGACCTACCTAGATTGAAGAGTTTCTCACTTGTCTGAGAGGGTATATATACATATTTTGTTTTGGTGAGGAAGATCGGCCCTGAGCTAACATCTGCCAATCCTCCTCTTTTTTGCTGATGAAGACTGGCCCTGTGTTAACATCCATGCCCATCTTCCTCCACTTGATATGGGACGCCGCCACAGCAATGCTTGACAAGCAGTGTGTCGGTGTGCGCCCGGGATCCAAACCGGCAAACCCCAGGCCGCCACAGCGGAGTGCATGCACTTAACCACTTAACCGCTTGCGCCACCGAGCCGGCCCCCTGAGAGAGGGTGTATTTTAACATTAAAGTTTTGACCACTTAAGATAGCTTGTGTTGTTATTGTTAGTTTGTTTGACCTTCCCTAGTCCCTATTAACTAGTTCTGAGATCACCAAGACTATCCATATTAAATTCGAAAGAAATAAGTTAAATGTATGTTTAAGGGCCTACATGTATTTATAACTAGAAATGTATTTTCTTTTCAACAGTATCCACCTTGTACCCAACACAAAAAATGGAAACATCTACCCTCCCTTAATTACCATTGCCTACAGTGACCTTGATATCAAAGATCCCAACAGCCAGTCTGTGAAGGTGAGTTCCTTACTAACCAGTGTCTCTATTTAAGTGTGTTAATATAATACTGATGCAGTTGACGTTATGGTCAAAAGACAATCAGTCCTTTTTCAAGTTTTAGACAAGCACTGCACTTTATCTAATCAAGCCTTAATTATTTTTTACTAATAATGGTAAGACGTGAGTTCTTATGGATCCTAAGTATCAAAAAGCAAGAATTAAGCTTTTCAGCAGACAGCATCGGCGGCAGCCAGGCATTCCTGTTCAGGACATTGGGGTGAGCTGAGATATGCAGCTTCTGCTCCTGGCCTCTTTGGCTGCCTCACTTCTGTTAAGATTTTGTCTCCTTGCCTAATTAAACCCGGAGCTCAAACTTTACAGTGAGCGTGTGTGTTCTCTTCTTACCAGCATTGCCGCTTGATAGAGAGACACTCCAACAGGCAGAAAGAGGTTCAAATTTAGAACTAGTAGGGTTAAAGTGAGCTAGAGAATGCAGTTTGGACATGCAGCCAATTAGGCTTCCTACTACTTCCCCAACTCAATTAAACTTAACACAGAGCTAAAGGCCTCCCCTGCCTGGAAGAGCCTGAATAGGGAAGGGAGACCATGCACACCCTGAAGACAGGCTACCCCAAAGAGGATGAGCCTGGAAAAGGCTGAGCCACACGTTCTCAGTTCCTCCTCTCAACTTCACCAGTCAGATAAACCCTCCCTGTTTTGAGGAGGGGTAAATGAGAGAGGGGCAGAGATCAAAACCGGATCTCTTTTTCCCTCAGAGAGTAAGTGGATATTCCCTTCCCTCTCCTGAAACATGACAATTGGGGATAAGCATTCCTTACCTCCCAGACTCACTAATAGCTTGTAATGTCTACATTTTACTTTTCTGAATTTCGGTGTTCTAGTTCTTCAGCCAGTGCTTTTGACCTCTCTGTTGTGCTTTGTGCTCAGCTACTCTTGGATTCAGGCTTTCATTAAGCAAAAAGTAGGCACGTAACATAACTTTTCTCGGAAAGATTTCACATCCTCATTTGTATTACCTAATTCGATGTTAAAGTTAGTTTCCATTGCCTGAGCTTGTATACACTGTACTGAGAGCAGAAGAAAATCCAGAAACATGCTTAATAACAACAAAAGACTGCCTAGTTCAAAATTTCTTGGAGTGATCGTTCTTGGGTAACCAAGAGTATTATTTATTTTAATATAAAACACTTCTGAGTCTTTTCTTTAAATATTTTTCCTGTTCAAAATACTCCAAACTAAGTCTTGACAAATTGGGAAATAAGTGATGGAAGAAGAGTTGAGAGAGTCATGACACTGCACTCACGCAGTCCACCTCAGATTCATTCTAATTGTAGAGTGCACAGTTCTCTCATCATTCCTTAATTTCTTATGACAGCCATTGCAAAAATTCTACATTAGTTTTAAGCATCCAGCTACATCTCTGCCATCTCACCAATAGCAAATAACCTTCCTTCCTATCTTACTGAGCTGATCAAGACCATCCAATATGAATTCCCTCACCTTTCCTCTTCAATACTTGAGAATCTCTGTTTCATTATCCTTCCTGTCTCTTGTTCCTATTTCTAAGAAAAAAGGGCCCTTCCTCCTCTCTTACGCTAGTCTTCTATCTGTACTTGTTTACGGTAGTGTCTCCAGTATCCTGTTTCACCCCCAACTCCTTATTCAGCCAGTTTCTCTGCTGGTCCCTTTGCTTACAACACCTCGTCCATTCTTAAAAACAAATTAAACTAAAACCACCGAACAATAAAATCTTTCCTCAGTTCTGCCAGCTTTTCAGCTTGCTGTCGTATGTCTCTGCTTGATTTCCCAGCCGTTCACTCTTTCGTCATTTGCAGTCTGGCTCTTGCTGTTTTGTTTTTTTGAAAACCTCTTTCACATAGGTCAGCAATGAATTCCACATACACGGGCTTTATTTCTTTAACTTGGCATTTATACAGCGTTCGACGTTGTACTCTTGACTGCTTTCTTCCTGAAGCTCGCTATTATGAGCATGGTAAGACTTAGGTATCGTGCCTCTCCTACCGCTCACGCTCCCGTTTCTCTAACCCTTTTTAGCTCTTCTTTCTCTTCCTGACTCTTAACATAGTGGTTTCCCTAAGATTCTGTTCAGCCCTTTGACTCATCTCCTTTCTTAGAGTGTGATTGTTTAGCCGGTTGCTGAATTCTTGGTACACAAGATCAGTCACATTCCTTAGTTATAGAACCCTATCAAAAAATGAAATATGATTAGTTTGGCTTGACTGCTGTTAATGGACCTAATCTAGCTCCTGATGAAGCTCTCTCTCTTTAATGTGTGTTCAAAAGGGATATTCAAAGCAGCATGAATAATTCCCAATAGCATATCCATTTATGTATAAGTAAGGGTCAACTCTAGTCATATTGATAGTTTAAAAATATCAGCTACAAATGTATTTTTATAGTAAAAGTAGGTTGTGTTATATTATTTCAGTATGGCTGATTTGCTTTCTTTTAAATATCAGGTTTCTTTCTCAGTCAAATATGAAATGAATCAAGGAGAAGCGCATGTCCAGACAGATGTGAGTTTATTTTGACCTGTTAAAATGTTTACAGTATATTTTTTAATTAAAAAAAGTTTTAGGGGCCGGCCCAGTGGGGTAGTGGTTAAGTTTGCACACTCCACTTCAGCGACCCGGGGTTTGTGGGTTCGGATCCCTGGCGCGGACCTACGCACTGCTTATCAAGCCATGCTGTGGCCGTGTCTCACATACAGAATAGAGGAAGATTGGCACAGGTGTTAGCTCAGGGACAATCTTCCTCAAGCAAAAGGAGGAAGATTGGCAACAGATGTTAGCTCAGGGCCAATCTTTCTCACCAAAAAAAAAAAAAGTTTTAGATGTACAGGAAAGTTGTCAAAATAGATATGCCATATATCCTTAACCCAGCCTCCCCTATTGTTAACATCTTACATAACCATAGTACAAAGATCATAATCAGGAAAATTAATATTGATATAGTCTTGTTAACTAGTCTAAATACTCTTTGAATTTCACAAGTTTTTTCACTTTCCTTTTTTTATTGCAGAACCCAGACCAGAGTTGCATGTTACTTTTAGCTGTCATGTTTCCTTAGTCTCCTTCAATCTATGACAGTTCCTCAGTCATTCTTTGTCTTTCATGACTGACCCTAACATTTTTGAAGAGTATTGGTCAATTTATTTTCCCGTGATTAAATATAATTTGAGCACAGATACCACAGAGATGATGTCATGCCCTTCTCAGTGAGTGATATCAGAAGCTACTTGATGTCAGTATGTCTTATTACTGGTGATGTTAACTTTCATCATATGGCTAAGGTGGTGTCTGCAGAGTTCTCCACTGTATTTTTCCATTTATAATTAATAAATATTAATCTTTTAATTTATCTCCCCATCTTGTGGGGAGATACTTTGAGATTATGCAAATATCCTGCTACTCATTATTCTTTTGCCTTCTGATTTTTGCATCCATTGATAATTCTTGCCTGTAAAAAGTATTACTGTGATATTTGTGATACTGGTGATTTTCTCTTTCTGTTATTTCTTGTCTATGTGTTAATTGGAATTCTGCTGTAAAGGGGAGCTATCCCTTCACATTGATTTATTTATTCAATTATTTATTTGAGGGGCCGGCCCCGTGGCTTAGCAGTTAAGTGTGCACGCTCCACTGCTGGCGGCCCAGGTTCGATCCCGGGCGCACACCAACGCACGGTTTCTCTGGCCATGCTGAGGCCGCGTCCCACATACAGCAACTAGAAGGAAGTGCAGCTATGACATACAACTATCTACTGGGGCTTTGGGGGAATAAATAAATAAATAAAACTTAAAAAAAAATTATTTATTTGAATCAGTATGGACGTGTGGATATTTATTTATTCTAGTGATTATAATCCATTTACTGTCTATTTTCTTGCTCAAATTGTTCCAAATTTGACCGTTGGGAGTTCCTTCAGTTTGGTTCCTGTGTCCTTTCAGCCTACCCTCCACCACCATTTTTTGAGTACTTCCTTACTTTCTATTTACAGTATTTTTGAACATTGATGAGGGAAATTACATAAATTCCAAAATGTTCCCTTTTCTTTCATTAGATTGCTTTGGGTGTGTTGGGTGGGCTAGCTGTGTTGTCATCTCTCCTGAAGACAGCAGGGTGGAAGAGACGCATTGGGAGCCCCGTGATTGATCTGCAGGTATGACCTCAGGAGTTGGTAAAGTATATTTCTGTCTTTTGACTCTTTTATATCCTACAAATAAGACCCAGCTAGAGGGTGAATAAAAAGTTGCCTTAGTTTCTCGGGGAGGGTAACCAGGAGCAGCACATGGCTGCTTTCTCCGCACGCTGCTGTGGGCCAGCCTGCACCCCCCGCCTGCTCTTCTGTCTCCTCACCTCCTCGCCCACGCTTGGCGTTTGCCCAGCCTCTCTGTGGTGGTATAAATAGCATGTCAGTGTTGAGTTTAATTTTCCTTTCTTTATTATTCTTCCTATGCTTGATTAATGATTTGGGTCTCCCCTTCTGTGAACTGCCTGTTTATATTCCTTGCCCATTTTTCTATTAGGTTTCCAGTTTTTCTTATTTATTTAAAGGAGTTTTTTGTAGTTTCTAAAGATGAATACCCTTTTGGTTTTGATGTTGAAATTTCTTTTCCAAGTGTGACCCATCTGTTATTTTATCTGTGTGTTCCTTTGTTTAACAGAAACTCTCAATTTTGATACTGTTACATCTGAATAGTTTTTCATATTATGGCATGTGCTTTTAGAATCTTGTTTAGGAAAGCCTTCCCTATCTCAAGATCAAAATATTCTTCATGTTTTATTCTAGTAAATTTATATTTTTACCTCTTATTTAATCTTTTTTTATATTTGTTTTTGTTTTTATCTATCATTTATTGAATATTTACTATGTGCCAGGCATATTTTTAAGCTTTACATGTATAATTCATTTAATCCTTACAATAGCTCTGTGAATTTGGGTATTATTATTATCATTTCCATTTTATACATGATGAAATTATGGCAGAGGTTAAATATGAATAAACTTTCTATTTATTTGACTTTTGCAGCAACTCAGTAATGGATGGTATTTCCATTTAGCTCATTAAGAACATGAGAAAGACAACATAGTCACTTGTTTGTGCTGAGGTATCTTCCTGACTCCAAAGCCAATGTGCCAAGGAATCAGAGGAGGGGGCTTGGTTTCTTCTTTGGATAGTCAAGAAAGGCTTCCCAGAGAAGTGAACTTTAAGCTATGTTGTCTGTGCATTCTACAGATAGGAATGAGGGCCTACTGTCTGGGTGCCAGGCACTCTACCAGGCGCTGGGAGATGTGATGATGAGCAAAGACAGACATGGTCCTGCCCTGAGAGCTCACGAGAGTTTGCCAAAGAGAAGGGAAGAATATTTGATGAAAAATGCCCATTTCATTCCACAAAATATTTGAGGTGAAAGTGTGGAGTGGTTAATCATTGAATAAGTGGTTGGAACTGGCAGATGAGGCTAAAAAAGTTAATTTTGGTCTAGGTTGTGAAGGACCTGGTAGGTCAGGAATTTAGTGAGGAGTCACCGTACATATTTAAGGAGAGTGACAATCCAGTTTACATTTTAGAAAGCTAACTCTTGTGGTAGTATGGAGGATAGATTGAGAAGAAGGGTTCCAAACTAGGAGAAAATTAGGAAGCGGTTCTCACTTTCTTAAATGGTGAGAGATGAGAAGGGTTGACTAAGACAGAGGCTACTGGGAATGGACCAGAAGTATGTCTGGGAGGTGTCTGCAGTTGGTCTTTCTAACTGATCCATGGATACATGAAACGAGGCTTCAAGCTTGAGAACTGGGTAGATAGTATGTTATTAAAAGTGATAGCATAAATAGATTGAGTCTATAACAGCTGTAATTCTTTTTAAATTGCAGACAGTTATGAAATTCTTGGTATACTATGCTGGTGATCTGGCCAATGTTTTCTTTATCATCACCGTGGGAACAGGTCTTTATTGGCTTATTTTCTTCAAAGTAAGTGAGTTTCTGAATTTAACCTAGATGCCAATACCTGAATAACTAGTAAACTCTCTTTATAAAGGAACTATTTTTATTTGGGGGTATTTCTGATCAAGAATATTGAGGCAAGTGCTAAACTCACCTTTCCCTGAGTGTGCTGTGTTTACTGAGTACATCACCACCTTCCTCTTTTATGCTTTCTTTGGGTTATAAATTGTGCTTAGTAAAAACCTTGTATGGTCATATTTAACAGCATAATTTTTATCTTAGGCACAGAAGTCTGTCTCTGTTTTGCTACCAATGCCAGCTCAGGAAAAACGTTTTGTTACTTATGTGGGATGTGCTTTTGCTCTGAAGGTAAGTTTCAAAAGACTGGTTACCAAGTTTAGAAGGCCTGCTAATAAACTTGTAAGTCTTTAGAATTAAAATGCTTTCAGCATCTTTGGTGTAAAATTTAGTTTGATTCTGAAAGAAAGCATGAATTATTCTATTTTACATAGGAAGTCTATTTTTATTTATAATAGATAGCTCATTCTGAAAATCTGCCTTAAATAATTTTTCCTAAGAAGCCATAAATATTTTTGGATTAACATGACGTATAGCTAATTTGATAAAATGATATTTCATTATATGACTTTCTTCTTTAAAGTCTGATGATCCATTCATAACAGGACAAAATGCCTTCAGGCATGAATTTTGTCTCTGTTAATTGAGAGTAGAAGGTACCACCCTGGGTAAAGTGCTGATATCTTACAATTTGTCTCCTCTCTTTCCTTTCCTCCTATTCCCCCGGCAACCCCTTTCCCTACTTCATTGTTCTGTCAATGTATGTGAAGCTCTTTACACGCCTCTGTGGTAGATCCCATCCCATTGTATTGTGATTATTAAGTGTCTGCTTTTCCCACTGATCTATGAGCTCCTTGAAGAGAGGAATCATCCCATACTTAGACTTTTATCCTTTGTTTAATCAATAATGCATCTACTAGGAGGAATGCCTCAGTTTAAACATTTTACTTGTGTAAATGAGAAAGATGTGTTTCAACAATACGTTTTTTTTAATATAATTTTATTTATTTATTTTTCCCCCAAAGCCCCAGTAGATAGTTGTATGTCATAGTTGCACATCCTTCTAGTTGCTGCATGTGGGACGCAGCCTCAGCATGGCCGGAGAAGTGGTGCATCGGTGCGCGCCCGGGATCCGAACCCGGGCCACCAGCATCGGAGTGCGCGCACTTAACCGCTAAGCCACGGGGCCCGCCCTCAACAATACATTTTTTTAATCAGAAATTTCAATACCAGAAATAGAAAAAAGACAGAGCATCTTAAAACTTTAATTAAGACAGGCAAATTACAGTTGAAAAATTTCTTTACTTATAAAGAAGTCAGATGATCTAGAAGACAAAGCATGCTTTTGGAAACCTTAGGAGAGTCAATTATGCAAGGCCCCTGTGTGAGGAGGAGGTAGTATGTCTCCTTTTTTTGTATTTGTATTTTAAAGAAAGACGGAGGAAGGGAAGACGAATTAATACGTGTATAAAAATTCTGTGAATTTGGTGATTCCATGTTGATGAGTTTCTAGTGATCCCCAATGGTATTTTAACTTTATTTGTCATTTGTGAAAATTATGTATTCTTGTGATTATGGTATGTTTGTTTCTTAAAGAGTCAGTATTGGTTTCATAAGCAGGCTTAATGTGGATACTTTTAGGTGTTTTGTTTGTCATTCTCAGGCTCTGCAATTTTTGCATAAGCTCATATCCCAGATTACCATAGATATATTCTTTATCGATTGGGAGCGACCTAAAGGAAAGGTTCTTAAAGCTGTTGAAGGTAACTGAAATAACCATTTGTACCAAATGCTTTTGCTACCCTTGCAGAGTGAAGAAGATGAAACTCTTTTACTCATTTTATCTCCCTGACCAGGTGAGGGTGGTGTTCGGAGTGCTACCGTGCCCGTGAGCATATGGAGAACATATTTTGTAGCAAATGAATGGAATGAAATTCAGACTGTGAGAAAAATTAATCCCCTCTTTCAAGTACTTACTGTCCTCTTCCTTTTGGAGGTATAAACTGTTTGACGTAATTCTATGCAATTTATGGGTACTCATAAATATTAATTTAATATTTCATGTTTTCATGTCAGTGGAAGAGTTTTCTAAAGGGTAAAATATTGTTATCAACCCATTAAAAAGGAATGGCTTTTTTAAAATCATGGTAAAATACACATAATATGAAATTTAGCATCTTAACCAATTTTAAGTATACAGGTCAGTAGTTTAAGTACACACACATTGTTGTGCAACCAATCTCTAGAACTCTTTTCATCTTGCAGAACTGAAACCCATTAAACAACTCCCCATTCTCCCCTCTCCCCAGCACCTGGCAACCACCATTCTACTTTCTGTCTCTTTGAATTTGACTACACTAGGTAAGGAGTGGCTCTTAAACCACTGGTTTGTAGCAGAATCCCCTGGGAAGCTTTTGCAAAATACCTATGCCTTACCTCACCCCTAGAGATTATGTTTGATTCAGTAGCTCTGAAGTAACCCCAGGTATCTGTATTTTGAAAAAACTCCCTCCCTCCATGATTCGTATTCTCACTCCTGTATTACACCCACTATTATAAGGTTGAAATTTTCCAAAAAATTATCATTGAACACCTACTATGGACTGTTTTCTGTGTTAAGAGCTGGGGCTACAGCTGAACAAGATACAGTGAATGGGTACATGCTTATGATCCCTTACAGTTATTTCATGGATCTGACTGGAATTGTTGAAGTATTCAGTACTGAGTATGAGACTGAAATATGGAAACCATTTATATGGGTAACAGGTTTTCTCAGGAATTAGCAGCTTAAATAAGATATGAATTATTAACTCTTATGTCTATCTGCCTTCCTTCCTTTTTCCTTCTTTCCCTCCTTTTTCCTTCCTTTCCTTTTTTCAAAGTTAGAAGAATGTGTGTGTCCCTAGGACATATGAACAATATCTCAAAAATTCATTTATAGCAGTGTTTTTTAAAGCTTTAAAAGGTGTACATGAGAAAGAAGTTTTATAGTCAAGTAAGTTTGGAAAACACTGGATTCAATAAAGTCATGTAGAATTCCTCTGCCATAAAACTTCCCAGAGCGTTTATTCTATGAGGATGGAAGGCATGAAGTGAGCATAATATACTGACACAACTTATTTAACCGTGGCTTCCTTTTTTTCAAAGAAGGTATCTTCCTCAAAAGATATTTTGGAAAATGCTGTTTCAAAGTATAAAAAGTATTTTGCATAGTGCCTGGCATATGTTAAAAACTTACGAAATGCTGGTTGTTCATTGGTAGTTTACTGAAGAAAGTTTTATTCTTTTGGCAGAAATTTTTGAGTTTTGTTAGTGTATATGATGATAAAGTTATATTTGGCCCTTAGTCGTATTGAAGAGAATACCAAATGAACTAACTAAATATTTTGTATTAAATACTTTGTATTTAATCTACTGGATAATTATTTTTATCTAGATTTTCTACTGTTTGTACAAACTTGAATATTTTAGTTTTTCAAGATAAGTAGTAGGGAGGAGTGTCTCATTTTCAGACTGGAAGAGTTTTCTTTATCCATGTTTGTTTAAATTATTATTTTTCCTTTTTACTCCAGGTTGTGGGATTCAAGAACTTAGCATTAATGGACTCATCCTCTAGTCTTTCCAGAAGCCCAGCTAGCTACATCGCTCCTTATAGCCGCATTTTGAGATATGCGGTGTCTACTGCTCTTTGGCTAGTCATTGGAATTATACAGGTAACAAGAGATTATATCATGCTTAAGCAGCATTGCCTCACACATAGCTAAGTGTGCCTCTTAAGCAACATGTGTTTATAACTGTTTACATACTCATTATCCTCAAATATTGACCATGTCCTCATTTTTATAGCAGAAAAAAGGTGACAAGAAAAATAATAATAATAATAGCTGTTAGCTAATTCTTATGTAGTGTTATAACCCAGGCACTGTGTTAATTAATTGCATTATACATATTAACTTGCTTAGTCTTTATAGTAGCCCTCAGAGATAGGTTCTGTTAGTATCCTTATTTTGCAGACGAGGACCCTGAGGCACAGAAATAGTTGCCTTAAGTCATGCAGTTAGAGAGTGGCAGAATGGGAATTTGAACCCAGGCAGTCTGATTTCAGAGCTCCTCTCTTATCAGGAGTGGGGCCCTGCAGGCTCATTCACAGGCTGCAGCTTTCTAGTCATAAGATGGACTCCTTGTTTCCTTTATGTGTAACTATAGGGATGGCAAAGCTACCCTTGATATTTTCTCTTTTGAAATGTAGCTTGTTGTTTACATTTATTTATGTATCATTAAATCTCCCTCAAATTGCCAGTACCCTTGTGAAATTTTCTTTGAAATATTTATTGGCAAAGCTGAAACTAAAAATAAATCTTCTCAGCCTCAGGTCCCGTGGCTCTAAAAGAGGATCTCTTCTATGCTTACTTTCATTATCTTCTTAAAACTTGAAAAACAAAACAAAACAAAAGAATGAAAGGGAGAGAAGAAAGAATCAGCAGCTAAAACACTTAACTCTGATACCTGCGCTTCTTTCTCTTGTTTCCAGACACTCCTGTTAATGGAAAGAGCCTTTCTGTTTGATTAAAAATTCCTTTAGCTTTTAAATAAACAAATGAAGAGGGGACCTCTAGAAAGACCAGGTTAAACCTCTATAGCCTGGCAAACAAATATCTGCCTAAAAAAGCCTATTTTTAAAGATCTGGGATTGAAATCCCAAAATTCCTACAGAATTGGATCTAGGTGGCATTCTGTAACCTGAGAATAGACTCTTTAAATTTGCGTTTATTTTAAATTGGTGAGACTTGTTCAAACTTGAGGCTACAGGGACCTAGCTAGTGAGGGATAGTTTGACAATCAGAAAAGAAGGAGAAATGGAAATTAGAATTTGAAGTAAGATAGGATCAAAAGAGTATGGGGTTTGATGTTTATCATCAGTATATAATAGTAAGAAAATATCTTATTTTGTACATACACCAGTATGTTTTTATGAATAGATAGGATTCATTTGGACGTAGAGAATTTAAAGGAATACCATCTGAAGCTTTTCATATTTGGTCAAGTACGACAAAAAAAATAGTGGCTGAAATAAAAGAGAACTTGATCTCCCCTGTGAGAAAGGAGAGCAGAGGTCAGTGATGCAGCCCAGCATGGCGGCTGCTGTCAGGACCCAGGCCTGTTGTTCTTCTCTGTACTCAGGACTCCTGTCTCTAAGGTCACCTCATGGTCCATAATGGCTGACGGAGCTGAAGAGGGAGTCGGGGGAGAAAAGCTCACCCTCTCTTCTTTAAGAGCCTTTTCGGAAGTGCCTTTCAGCCTCTCCTTAGCCGGAACTTAGTTACACAGCCACACTCGGCTGCACTGGCATCTTTCAGCTTGGCAGCAGTGCACCCACTCAAAGGAGGGGTCTGTCACTAAGGAGAAAGGGGAAAGGATTGTTGGGGCAGCAACTAGCCATCTTGTTATCAAAACAAAGTGAGTTCTCCTCCTGGCGAGTTAATATCAGAGCCTCCAGCATAAGTAGTTGTTACACAAAGTAGAGTTTATTTGCAGCACGTAGGAGACCTCACAGAATCATTTCCAAAGTCGTGGCTCCCGGTACAGTGGGAGGCAGGTGTCTTTTATTTCGGTGGGGAATAAATATTTAAGGGGGAAGTTTTGTCATCACATATAGAAGTAGGTGTTAGCTTGCGCAGGCGCAGTCTGAAAACATGCTCTCACGTACATCACATGTTATGCTAATAAGGCCTAGGCTTCTCCTATGGTGGAGATTTTAGTGTCAAGATGAGGAAACGGGTGTTTTCTGGTCATCTCTAGGTCATCTGTGCAGGCACTGCCCTTGCAGTGGGGCTCCATCTGGTTCAGGCCGGTTGATGCTAGTATTTCTTTCCAGCATAGCTCTGAAAAACAACCTTGAGGTGTTAAACACTTTTAAATTTCCTTCGAGCTGCTTAGGGCGTACCCTGGTGACAATCTCAGGCACCACCATCTAACCTTGTTCTTTGTTTCTCACTATCATTCTGGTAGGAAACTATTTCTCTCAATGGTCACATTCTAAGGTTATCAGTGTTTATTACTCAAGTATCCTTAAGTGTTCCTTTAATAACCTGTTCTAGTTCCATAAATTTGTCTATACAAACTCTTCTTCATTCTTACAGTGTTAAGCTCTGTTGTTCGCTCCTTTTATTTCCCTAAACCCACCTTCAACTTTTAAGTGGTATCCTTTAATTTTTAAACTTTGAGTGTTGCTGTTTTTCATGTCCTTTATAGGGGTTTAAAGAATATGTACGTAGATGTTTAGGAGAGTGTTTTCAATAATCAGCTGCTGTAGATTCATTTACTTGTTCATTCACATATCTGAGTACATTTTATGTACTAGGCACTGTGCTGAGCTCAAGGATATGCTATAACAGGAACAAGTTACAGATTGTGACAAGTGCTGTGAAGGGCATCAGCAGAGAGACGAGATAGCGAGTCAATGGAGGTGAGGGGAATGGAAGTCAGGAATGAGGGACTGTGGGGACAGCTTTAAATTGGGTGGTTAGGACATGGTATCTTTCTCTGAAGCATATCTAAGGTCTACAATGTAAACTTTTCTCCTTTGATTTATAAAATGTCCCTTTGGGGGCTGGCCCCGTGCCTTAGCGGTTAAGTGCGCATGCTCCGCTCCCGGCCGCCCGGGTTCAGATCCCCGGCGCGCACCAACGCATCACTTCTCCGGCCATGCTGAGGCCGCGTCCCACATATAGCAACTAGAAGGAAGTGCAACTATGACATACAACTATCTACTGGGGCTTTGGGGGAAAAAAAAAGAGGAGGATTGGCAATAGATGTTAGCTCAGAGCCGGTCTTCCTCAGCAAAAAGAGGAGGATTAGCACGGATGTTAGCTCAGAGCTGATCTTCCTCACAAAAAATAAAATAAATATAAAATGTCCCTTTGTAGTACTGTAATTAAATCTATCTAAGAAAACACTTGAAACCATTCCATTTGAATATTTAACACATGTGTAATTGAAATAGAATACTTGATATATGCTTTTTATGTGCTACTCTGTCAGAGAAGATTAATTTGAAAAAACAGCAACTTCTCTAATGGCTTTTGGAATTTGGGAGATGGGCAGAATTGCAGAACCAGACATAAATCTGGCACTAATACTTTGGTATTCTTTTTTTTTTTTCTTTTGACGAAGATCCGCCCTGAGCTAACATCTGCCAATCCTCCTCTTTTTTTTTTTTTTTTTGCTGAGGAAGACTGGCCCTGGGCTAACATCCATGCCCATCTTCCTCCACTTTATATGGGACGCCACCACAGCACGGCTTGCCAAGCGGTGTGTCAGTGCACACCTGGGATCCGAACCAGCGAACCCCGGGCCGAGGCAGCAGAGCGCACGCACTTAACCACTTGCGCCACCGGGCCGGCCCCCATTGGTTTATTCTAAATTTTTTGTGTGTGTGAGGAAGATCAGCCCTGAGCTAACATCCATGCCAATCCTCCTCTTTTTGCTGAGGAAGACTGGCCCTGGGCTAACATCTCTGCCCATCTTCCTCCACTTTATATGGGATGCCGCCACAGCATGGCCTGACAAGCGGTGCGTCGGTGTGCGCCCGGGATCTGAACCCAGGCCGCCAGCAGCAGAGCGCGTGCACTCAACCGCTACGCCACCGGGCCGGCCCCTACATAGGAGTTTTGTGTGTGTGTGTGTGAGGAAGATCAGCCCTAAGCTAACATCCATGCCAATCTTGCTCTTTTTTTGCTGAAGAAGACTGGCCCTGGGCTAACATCAGTGCCCATCTTCCTCCACTTTTTTTATATGGGACTCCGCTACAGCATGGCCTGACAAACGGTGCATCTGTGTGCGCCTGGGATCCAAACCCGGGCCGCCAACAGCGAAGCGTGAGCACTTAACTGCTATGCCACGGGGCCGGCCCCTATTCTAAATTTTTTAAAGCTCTTTCTTCCTTCATGTTTGTCCTATCTTGTTTTAATGACACAGAAAAATTTTTAAAACTCAAAATAAGCTCCCTCAATGAATCTTAACACAATTCCAAAACCTTCTTCCTTTGACAGAGAATCAGAAATGATAAGTAGGATTTTATCCCACAGTAATTAGAGGCCACTGTGCTCAAAAAAAAAACTTCTTTTTTAAGATACTACACTGTGGCTATAAAAGAAAATTAAATCCTAAAAGCTAATGAGCATGCACTTGGCTTAATGTTTCAGATCATGTTCTTTGCTGTCTTTTATGAGAGATTTATAGAAGATAAAATTCGACAGTTTGTTGATTTATGCTGTATGAGCAATGTAAGTACTTTCTGACTTTATCTTGCAACTGCTATTTTTTCCGTTTTTAAAGGTCATGAGTACATTAAGAGAGGCTTTAAAAGTGATTTGGTATGATTGGATTTTTAGTCTAATTTCCACTGGTTGTTAATTCCAGAAAGTTACAATGAGTTACAAGTTAATATTTACTGCCTTAGTTTTTTCTTCTTTATTTGCAGTTTCTTAATTATGACCTCCTTATGCCACCAAATAGTTCACTCAGCCCAGACTCCCTGAATAGTTTTTATATGTCAACCCTGTTTCTTCCTTTCTTGGAAAATATCTTCAATCTCTTTTCCATCTACTTTTTTTTTAGTAACCTCATTATCCTTTATTACATTATTTTCTTTATATATTTTCCAAGACATCAACCCTTATTATTTTGAGAAAGGAAGCAATTTTAATTAAAACTTAATTTTTGTTGTTTTATAGATGAGTTGCTAATTGCTCCTTCTTCCTCTGTTTTTATAGATATCAGTGTTTCTGTTATCCCACAAATGTTTTGGATATTACATTCATGGTAGATCAGTACATGGGCATGCAGATACTAATATGGAAGAAATGAATATGAATCTTAAAAGAGAAGCGGTATGAATGTATTTTACATCTTTTTGTTTTTAAGTTGAGAGATGGGTTCTCTTTTTTTAGATATCTAGGATTTGTAGTAATATTTTTAAAAAATCCTCATTGATTACTTTTGCAAGTTGCTAGAGTACCAACTCATTACCTTGAATATTGGTAAAGGGAAAGAAGCAAATTTCATCCTGCAGTTCCTATATGAACTGTATTTCAGAGTAATCAATTTATGAGGGGAAGGTCTTCCTTATAGAAGAAAGTGAAAGGAATTCTAAGTTAGAAAATCACTATTTTGTAATGACTAATAGATTAATGCATATAGGCTGTAATTATCAGTGGATGCTAAAACAATTAAGTGAAGTTTGACAGGGCACTTTGTCATGAGGAACCAGGTTGACATAATCTGAACACACAGTCTTAATCTTACTACAAGTAAAAATTAGGAAAACTGACATTATGCACGTCCTGTGATGACTCAGTAGGAAGTCCATAACATCACCCATGACATATTCTTGCCTGAGAAAACCTGCATATAATCAAGCCTCTAGATCTAACCACCAATTTACAGGAAACAGAGGGGATAGAGGGACAAATTAAATAATACCACAGGAGCAATCAGCCAGGTCCACAGTGTCCCATGGGACAAATGACCCAGTGTCTCCCACAAGTCAGAGGCGTGAACAGAAAAGGAGGGGTGGGGGTGAGGGTGAAGAACTGTTAGATAGTGAGAGAGATTTAAGAAACCAAACAAGCAAAGACAATGTGTAGACTTTGTTTGGATCCTGATGCAAACAAACCAACTATAAAAAAACCTTTGGAAAAAATCTGGGAGATTTAATGGGCTAAAAATTATATAATATTAAGAAAGATTAATTTTGTTAGGTGTGAAAATGGCATGATTTTTTTTTAAGATCTTATTAGTTAGAGATACACACAAAAGTATTTACAGCTGAAATGACATGTTATCTGGGGTTTGCTTTAAAAGAAAAAAGAAAAGTTAGGATAGATGAAACAAAATTGGTAAAATGTTGGTAATTGTTGAAGTTGGGTGATGGGTGGATTAGTATTCCCTATTATATACATTAGAAAACTTCCATAAGAAAATTTAAGAAGAAAAATATATACTTAAGAGGAAAAACCAAGAGGATTTGTTGATTAAGGGACTATGCCTGTGACTTGTAAGAATTTAATGCATGATAACAGCCTCTCAGAGAAGAATGATTTACTTAATACGTTGAACTGGATCAGTTGGTTAGCTATTAGAAATTACACCTGGATTGAAAAGTTAAGTGTAAAAAAAACTATAAAAACCTAGAAAAGAATATTTCGGATTGAGAGTTGACATTCTAAGCATAAAACGTACAAAGCATCAAAAAGGGAATCTTAATTGATTTTACTTTATTAGTATAGAATGTTTACATATCCAACAATTATATAAATAAAATACATAGTGAATTAGGGTAAAATTCTCACAGTAAATATGAAAAAGATATTGATAACAATATTGAAAGTCATACAAATGAGTAAGCACACACTAAGTTAAAACCTCAATGGAAAAATGACATAAAGATTTTTAAATATACGTAAATAAGAGGCTGGCCCAGTGGTGTAGTGGTTAAGTTCTGGTGCTCTGCTTTGGCGGCCCAGGGTTTGTAAGTTTGGATCCTGGGCTCGGACCTACACATCACACCACTCATCGAGCCACGCTGTGGTGGTGTCCCACGTACAAAATAGAGGAAGATTGGCACAGATGTTGGCTCAGCGACAATCTTTCTCAATCAAAAAGAGGAGGATTGCCAACAGATGTTAGCTCAGGGCCAATCTTCCTCACCTAAAAAAAAAAAAATTACATAAATAAGAAACAGAAGAGACTAGTAAACCTCTAAAAAATGTTTAACTCATAAATAATGAAAGAAATGAATGTAAAAATAACACTTTTGCTCTCTTCAAATTAGCAAACTTTTTAAAAAACTAATACTTAATAGCATCAAGGACACAGTAAATGGGCACCCATAAAACTGCTGGTCTTAGGAGAAATTTTTACAAGCCTTCTGGAAAGCATTTGGCAGTATATACCAAGAGCTTTTTATGAGTTCATTATCTCTGACTTTGATTCTGTGAATCTAAGGAAATAATTAGTAATGTGAATAGCTAATCAGGTTCAGGATCTTCATCACAGGGATTATCTATAAGAGCAAAAACATGCAAAAATGAGAGAATATTAATTGGTTTATACAGTGAAATCTTAGGTAGACATTAAAAGTCATGTTTTTAGAATATTTGATAACATGGAGAGTTGTTCAGTATATAATGTTAATTGAAAAAGAAATTGGTGTGATCCCAATTTTCTGCCATCTATATGTATATGCCTAGACAACGAACTGGAAATGAAATACTTTATAAACCTGTATCTCTTGATGTTGATATTATAGGTAATTTTTTTTCCTTTTGTTTTTTTACCTCTGTATATTTCATAAATTCTCTGCAGTAGCATGTGCTTTTTTAATCAGGGAAAAAAAAACGTTTTTTTTTTGAATAGAGAAATTCACTACACGTAGACTTCCTTTAAGTCAGTAGAATAACCAAATGTTACCTTATGTTTGCAGATTAGGTTTAGACAAAGAAGGAGAACGTTAAGCTCTGGAGTAGGCAAATAAAGGCAAGAGAACAGAGTCAAGAACTTGAGCTGAACCTTGAAGCACCAATGGGAATTAGCTAGGTGGGGGTGGGGCAAAATGTTACCTGTTATGGTTTTCGGGATTCAGGTCACGTCAGGGAGGCCTGAAATGGATATCTGGTCCATGACACCAGCTGTTCGGTCATGTATCACTACCTTTTGGAATTAATTAGGAAGCATTTTAAAAGTATTTAGAAAACAAAAAAGACCATTTATAAAAGTAGTTAATTCCAAGACTAGACTTTTTGGTATGCATTAAAGAGCAGTAAAGTTAATTGTGGAAAAAAGCTGAATATCCAATACTCAATGAACTTAGTATGAGATTTTTTTTTTAAAAGTAGGGCAGAGTAAAGGAGATGATATAAAGACCTCCCAGGGAGTATGACAAAACAGAAATGAGGAAAACCTGGAGGGGAGTGGGAACCTGGGGTAATGTTAGAATCTCTTTATCACTGAGATAGTTCCAGTAAAATTTCAACTGACTTCCAAATCTTGTAATGTGTGATACCAACTAGGAGAAAAATGTTGTATTTTCTTTTTGAGATAGGCAAAATTTTCATAATCTTGATCTTAATTTAAATCTTTTAACTTTTCAGGAAAGTTTATGTAGCCAGAGAGGTTTAGTACCAAACACGGATGGTCAGACTTTTCAGATTGCGATTTCTAGCCAGATGAGACAACACTACGACAGAATTCATGAGACACTAACGAGGGTTTGTATAAAGTACTATTCAGATATATTTTGCCAATATTTCATATTATTTAAATGACAAGAACATAAGGCATGTTGCATTTATCCTTGTCTCTTTTTCACATTAGAAAAATGGCCCTGCCAGACTATTGAGTTCATCAGCAAGTACTTTTGAGCAGAGTATAAAAGCGTATCATACTATGAATAAATTTCTTGGCTCTTTCATCGATCATGTATGTATGTCAGCATTTATATTTAATCTAGAATCAGATGCAGTTTTTAAAAAGTTAACCAGGAGTATCAATTATTTCTTCAGTCAGCCAAGTTGATGGGTTTAGAGTCCTCGCTCCCTTTTTTTTTGGCTGTCAAAATTAATACTGTAGCTTAGGGATAGAGTTAGATTCTGTAAAAGTAAAATGAGATTTTACATGTCTATTAGCATAATGATGATTACTTTAAAATATGTCTGTACTGAAATTTTGTTAGTTATCAGAATGTTACTATATTATTCATTATAGAAATATGTTGTGCTGTGGTTGTATTCCTGAAAAGCTTGTTCAGAAATGGATTTTCAGTCTACCTAGCCCTGAATACTACTACGGGTATTTAAAATTTAAAACATTCTTGAAGAGAATTTTGTTATAAAGCCCAGTGTAGTAAATTCAGTCCTTTTGAAGAACAGATTTTCTTGGTGTACTATTCATTTTTCATTTTCTCTCCTGCTGATTTTATAAAAATTGGGAAGCATTTACTTCACTGTTGTTTTTGAAATGACTCTGGCTTTTTATTTCAGGTTCATAAGGAAATGGACTACTTTATAAAGGATAAATTGCTTCTTGAGAGAATTCTTGGCATGGAATTCATGGAACCAATGGAAAAAAGCATCTTTTACAATGGTATCCTACAAATGCCTTTGTTGAACTTGATTACTGTTTTCAAAGGTTGAGAAAAAGTGCTTATTGTGTTATTAATTTTCTTTTGATTTTATAATTTTATATAAAAACAAAGGAAACATAATGGACTTACCTTCATAGAATTATAGTAGTTTTCTGTGTTCCATTTTATTGTGTCATGTAGCAAGAAAAAAATATATAAAAGACAATTATTCTACAAGAAAGTAAAAAAGCTGAATTTTGAAATCAATGATATGCATAGAAGAGATTGTAAAACAAATACATAAAATTTAGATTTTATTGGAATGTTCATTTAGTGGCAACCTTATGAAACACTTAAAGAAGGATAACATTTGTAATTAATTTTTAACATTTAATTTTTCATTTTATCTAAATTCTTAAAAACTGCAGATATCTGTGACAGGAATAGTAACTAAACCTGGGTTCTTATCATTAAAATAGTAGTATATTTGCCACTTTAAATGGGACTGATAGCCTCTTGTATGGCTTGGTAAAAATGGAAACGGTATGACCAATGTCCTGGCCTAGATATCAGTTACCCTGTGTTACTGAGTTGGCCAGTCCTGGGATACACACACCAATGGTCCCTCCCTTGAGCATCTTCTTTATTAGACTGTGGAAGGTAGGCATGTGAATAGGCAAGTGGAGTGAGGCTGGGATAGAAGTCTGTGCAGACACAGGTTACACTGGGTATAGAAAGGAAAGTAGAAAATCTAACCAGACACAGGGTGAAGCCAGAGAGGCAACATGGAGAAATTTGAACTGGGTCTTAAAAATAAGTTGCTGTTGTCAAACAGGAGGGTCAAGGGAAGAGAGGCAAAGAGATTGGTGCAGAGCGGGGAAGGGCGTGACGCGCTCGTGAACTTGATGATTGGAGCCTGGCATGAGGCGGGGCAGTGGCAGAGAGTGCATGGGAGATAAGAAGGGCAGAGACCAAATCCCAGAGGCCTTGTCTGACACCCTAAGGAGTTTTGCTTTATCCTATAGAGCAGTTTTTTCCAAAAAAAATGTTTTTAAATTTTTGTCCCACAGAGGTGTGGAGGCTGATCCATGGAGATTTGAGAAGAAAATATTAAAATGTCTTTTTGTGTATTTGCAATTCCATCATTCTTAATTTATATTTTTAAAAATTTATAATATATAGTAGTAAATAATAAAATATGCCTGTTGTGGGATGCATCCTCAACATTTTATTCTGATAGGGATACATGATCAAAACAATTTGGAAACCACTGCTGATGAACATGGATGTCATGAAAAAGTCCTAAGCAGATCTGATTTGTAAATTGGAAGAACTGCTCTGGCAGTAGTGAATAGGTTGAGTTAAAGAGATGCAAGTCTATAATAATGTAGCTTAGTTATTAAGAATATAGCTTTCAAAGTCTTCTGGTCTTGGATTCAAAATCTGACTCTACTAATTTTGTGAACTTCAGAAAGTTGTTTACCCTTTCTAAACTTTAATGCTCTCTCTGTAAAATTAAGTATAACCCTCTAAAGATTGTTTTGTTTATACATGTGTTACCATGTATAAAGAACCAGTTACGTACCAGTACCTGATATGGGTAGGCACCCAGTAAAGTGATGATGTTACTGTTTCTAATAATAATACAATCATCATCTTCATCTTTATTGGGAGTGGATGAGAATATGAGCTAAGGCAGTACTGATGATGGGGATAAAGAAGAAGAAAGGATTGCTAGAGATGTTAAGGAAAAAAAGAGGTAGGAGAGAAAAAGTAGTCAAAAATTATCCAGAATCCCAGCTTGTGTGACTAGGTGGTTGGTGGTGGTACCTTTTACTAAGACAGGGAGTGCAGATGGAGGACCAGGTTGTGAGGGAAAGGGGATGAATTTAGTTTTGAATATGTTGTCTTGAGATACCTCTGGGACATCTAGGAAGAGATGTCCAGTAAAGCATTAAATGTAAGGGGCTGGATCTTAGGAGAAAGTCAATGCACACAGTATTAAGCCGAGGAGTCTCATCAAATGAGGTCGTTGCTGGAGCAATGGCAGTGGAAGATCACCCAGGAAGAGCATATAGAGCAGGCTTGTTTATTTAAGTAGATATACGAGTATAGTATATATACAGAAGTGTGTATTTTATAAGGATATAGCTTAAAGGTCAGTGAATTGTCACAAACTGAGTATATCCCTCTAACTAGCACACTGATCAAAAAAGAATATTACCAGTATGCCAGACGTCCCCTTGTATAAAACGAATTCCTAACTGGGTCCCCATGGGCGGCTTCACTGGTTCTCTGGACCTCCCTGAAGTTGTGTGCAAGATTCGGATATGTGTATTTTTGTTCCCCTCTGATGAAGGGGTCTCTAGCTTTCATCAGAATCTTAAAAGAGTGTTCACATCCCAAAAAGGATGAACCCCTCCTTGTGGAGTGAGAAGAGAAGAGGTCTCAGAGCAGAGCCCTAGGGAACTATTGGAGACACAAATTATAGCACACTAGGTACTGTTCTAGTCCTTGCTGGTTTTGTTTTGCTTTTTTAACTTACTTTGTCTTAGAGAATCTTTCTAAGATTCTTTACCCTTTAGTTGTATAAACAAATAAAGGCTATTCATCACCTGGTATTTGAAAGGTATTGACTGTATACTTGCAGTGCTAGAAACTACCAATCCTTGATGTGAATGTTAAAACCGCTTTTTATGAGCAGAGTTCCTTGACTAACCTTTTAGGTTAGCAAATTTCAATACCTTTCATTTATTTCTTTATAAGCCATGAAGTATTATAATAGTAACTCATTTCTATTATGCTGTTTTTAAATATCCAAATTTTATCACCAGAAATTTATCACAGGTTTATTCTGTTTTCAAATTTCTAATTTATAGCTTAAAAATTGCTTTTTTTTTAATAGATGAAGGTTATTCTTTCAGCAGTGTTCTGTATTATGGAAATGAAGCCACTCTTCTTATTTATGACCTGCTGTTCTTCTGTGTTGTGGATTTGGCTTGCCAGAATTTTATTTTAGCAGCCTTCCTTACATACCTACAACAAGAGGTAAATTTTAAAATTTTTTCTGGGTTTCTTTTAAAAGAAATATGTTGGAAGCAGATATTTATTTTTATAGCTGAGAGTAACAATGTCTGCTTTCATTAGGAATTTGTAAAGGTTTAGAATATGATTAACCCCACCAAAAAAAAGGAATAACATTTCAACCAACCTCATTATACACTCTCCTTCAGGGTCAGTGAAATACTGGGGTCCTGAGTTGGGCATAAGTTGCTTGAGAAAACGTGAAAGGAATCCAGTAGGAAGAGACTTCGATTGCCGATCTCCTAGATGCCAGAAGTGAACAGTAATAGAGGCCCATTCACCCTCTGCCCCAGATATTAACGCTGCATAAGGGCAGGCACTGGAGATCTAGCTCAGGGCTCAGCCCCTTCAACTTGCAACTCACACATTCCCTACCAGTGTGGGCAAAACAACTACCTGGATGGGTGTGGAGCCTGAAATGGAGATTTCAAGAAATGACAAATTTGTTCTGGAAATGTTGTTATTACTATCACCCAAATATTTCCCACTATGTAAAGGAAGTATATAAGTTAGTAAGATATAGTTTATTAGTCCTTGATAGAGATCTAGAATTATGAACAAATTCTATCCCTACCAGTTCTTTTGATGTTTCCATAGCTTTTAGAGCTAGAGGAAATTTGCCTTACCAGATACTTAAAAGTGCATTGCTGTGAACATGAGAGGATTTGTATTATTAATTTATAAAAATATATTCTAGGGGCCGCCCCGGTGGCGCAAGCAGTTAAGTGCGCGCGCTCCACTGCAGCGGCCCTGGGTTCGCTGGTTCGGATCCCGGGCGCGCACCGACACACCGCTTGTCAAGCCATGCTGTGGCAGTGTCCCATATAAAGTGGAGGAAGATGGGCATGGATGTTAGCCCAGGGCCAGTCTTCCTCAGCAAAAAGAGGAGGATTGGCAGATGTTAGCTCAGGGCCGATCTTCCTCACAAAATAAAAAATATATATATGTATATATTCTAAGCAGGAACATACACTGCTTCAATATTATGAAACATGATAATCTTGAAATAATTTTGTATATCACCATGGAATTCAGATGTTTGATATATGAAAATAAATAGTTGAGGTGATTAACTAGTTTAATTTGGATATTTTGATGTGTGTACTTAATTTCTTTTATATATATTTTTTTTATTCTGAATTGTTTTAATTTTTTTTCCAGATTTTTAGATTTATCCGTAATACAGTAGGACAGAAGAATTTGGCATCCAAAACATTGGTGGATCAAAGATTTCTGATTTAATTTATTGAATAGATAACTTAGAGACTCAATATATAATCATGGCAAAAAAAAGTCATGATTATCAGGTTAGTTTGCCATGTTTTTTTAAAACTTGCGATACAAATTATTCTATTTTTGTTTTGTAATCTACAGAAAGACTTATTTTTATAACTTGTGGAAACATAACTTGCTGTGTGAATGTATAATGTGATATAATGGAAAATATTGTTTTTCCAGTATGTATGGTATTTAATTCACCAACTCATAAATTAGATAGCAAAAAAATTTAAATGTTGCTTTCAGCATAACACTTTTTAATGATAATCAAAGCAGTCCCCGTTATTTGTCTCTGTAGATTATTTTATAAACTGGGATTTGCCTACATTTTCTCACGTTGACAAAATTATTGATTCCAAGTTCAAGCCTAGTTTTCAGTTCAGTATTTTCTTGTTTTATATATTTCATGGTTAAATAAATTGAAAAATATTTTCAAGTTTACTTAGAAATTTGAAATTGTATATTGCTTATTCAATTTGCCTCTTTTTAATTGGTCACCCTCTTTGGCAGTGGACTGATTCACTATTGGATTAATAGGCATTTCATGAAATGGTATGTATTCGTTCCTTTGTATACCTGTATTATCAGGTCAGTATACTCTTTCCATGAAGTACAGTCATGCACCACGTAACGATGTTTCAGTCAACAACAGACTGCATATACGACGGTGTTCCCATGAGATCAGTACCATAGGGCCTAGGTGTGTAGTAGGCTGTACCATTTAAGTTTGTATAAGTACGTTCTATGATGTTCCCACAACCACGAAATTGCCTAACGACGCATTTGTCAGAAGGGATCCCCATTGTTAAGCGATGCATGTCGCTTAACGTATGTTTATATCTCTAATATCATTTACATTTATTAAGCTATAATGTGTGACATTTTCCCCAATGCAGTTTTTTATACATTTTTAATCACTTAACATTTTAAAAGCACTCCCAAAGATTTGCTCTTCAATTATGTTTAAAGATTGTAAATAACAAATAAACTGTAGATTGTCATGTTATTTTAACAAGGTGATTTATTGAAAGCAAACTTAGGCTTCATAAGTTAGTAGGCTTGTATTTTTTTTTTAATAAGGAAAAATATTAGGATTCAAAATATAATTGGTGTAAATTCTGAGCCATGTAGCTAATAATTTTCCATGATATGATTTTTCTTCAATATACTCCTTAATAATCCTTTTCATTGTATACCATGAACTTGAAAAGCACCTTATTTCAAGTGTAACAGTTCATTTACCCTAAACCGACATTTCTTACTGCCTTCTATGTTAATACTATGTAAATACGTAAATGTAATGCTATATAAGTATTATTTATATTTCTGAATTGAAAATATAAAGTAAAACATTTGGTGTTTCTGTTTCCTGTTTGAGTAATGTGTGTTTCATGAAATAGCATTTAGGAGTACAGCACTGTTGGGACAGGGGTCCCCAGCCATTGCCAAAGTTGAATCTTTTTACATTTCCCTGAATCTTGAGTATGACTGAGGAGAAAGAGGGAGGGCTAGTAAGTCGAGTATTTGAAACTCCACTTTCTAAGAGGTCACAGTATAGAAATGCCGTTATAGGGGCCGGCCTGGTGGCGCAGTGGTTAAGTGCTCACGCTCCGCTTTGGCGGCCCGGGGTTCACAGGTTCAGATCCTGGGCGCGCACCGACACTGCTTGTCAGGCCATGCTATGGTGGCGTCCCATATAAAGTAGAGGAAGCTGGGCAGGGGTGTTAGCCCAGGGCCAATCTTCCTCCGCAAAAAGAGGAGGATTAGCATCAGATGTTAGCTCAGAGTTGATCTTCCTCACACACACCCACAAAAAAGAAATGCCTTTATAAAAGCCACAGAGATAAATAAATGTTCCAGCGTGGATTTTTTGTGTGTGTGTGAGGAAGATTGGCCCTGAGCTAACATCTGTTGCCAATCTTCCTTTTTTTGCTGAGGAAGATTGGCTCTGAGCCAACATCTGTGCCCATCCTCCTGCATTTTTTTTGTATGTGGGATGCCCCCACAGCATGGCTTGATGAGTGCTGCATCGGTCTGCGCCCGGGATCCAAACCCATGAACCCCAGGCCGCCGAAGCAGAGCACGCAAACTTAACTGCTACACCACCAGGCCGGCCCCACCAGCATGGATTTTTAAAACCACCTACTCAGAAGCATAAGAAAGAAATTCAACTCTCATTCCATATATGAGAAGTTAATATTAGTATGAGTGTTTTTAAATAGAAATTTCAAAAAATATGATTAGTTGGCTCACCTGCTGATAAAACAGAGAAAGGAAAAGACATTTAAAAAATCATTCTAAACTAGTTTTGTACAATATTATTTTTACTCTGGTTAGATACATAATAATGTGTTCGGATTTTCGTACACTGTTGACTCTTTTGTTCATATTGCCACAATTTAAATTTTGTGATCATGTGCCTAATTTCCCACTAGATCCACAATCTTTTGTGTATTTTTGTTGCACAAACTCACTGTACTTTGCATCTTATATCCCTAATTTTAATGATTACTTAGAAACATTTGATAAGTCTCTTCATCATTTCATAATGAAACAAACTGTGGGTTCACCTAGAGGTTCTTTGCAAGCTGCCATGTGCTTTGTTTCCTCCTTAGAAATGCATAGGCCCCTAAAATAATTCTGCAGATCAGTCTCTCTGTTATGAGATGTTTATATTTACTTACTTCTCTGATACTGCTGTCCTAACAAACTGCCTTTTGAGAAGGCTCCGCTGCTTACCTAGATCAGGAAGCATTCAAAATGACCATAACTGCTTGCAAGCATGAAACATGTATTCTGTTTGTTGTCTATAAATATTGACAAATAAAAGCTGAGAGGAAATAAATGTAAGTCGAGGAGCAGTGTGGCTTAATGGAAAATGCTCCAAATTTAGTAACAGAAGCCCTGGATTTGAATTAGAATTTTGCCCCTGTCACTTACTAGCTTTGGGACTTTAAGTCATATGGCTTCTTTGAGCTTCATTCTGCATCTCTACAATAGAAATAATTCTCGTTGCTTACTACTTGTTGTAAGGATTAATTCATTAAGATAGGCTTATAACTGAGTAAACTATGAACACTGGAATTTTTATAATTTTTAGTTTAAAATATCTGCCTCAAAATATATTTTCTATCTTGCCAATAACTTAATTCCATGATATTGAAACTCAGATTACTGATCTCAATAATGGACCAACGAAAATTCTGGGCCTCACATCTACCTCAGCCATCCCAGCCTCGCCAGGAAGAGGCCCTGGTAGATGTTACAGCTGTCGGTGAAAGGAGGCAAGAAGGAGCTGTCACCACACCATATTGTAGACGTGGTTCATGGTACAGATTAGAAAAACGGGGAAGAGAGTGGCATATTGTCTCTGGAAGGGAGAGTTTCTTTCATTTGCTCATTCATTTATACGTTCATTCAAACTTTTCAATTCAAATATTTCTACCTCTTTCCCTCCCCAGCCCCTCAGAAATATCTTAGAATTAGTAGAGGAAACAGGTATATTAACCAGTAATTACAGTGATCTGAAAAGGGCTACAGCCACCGGGGTGTGATATGGGGAAAGCTCTTAACCGTGCATCTGTGGTCATCAGAGCTTTGACCTGAGAAAAGTGGTATTTGATCTAAGATTTAAAGATAAACAAGACAAGTGCAATGAAAGCAAGGAATGATATGTGCTCTGAGATGATGCACATGGCCGTTGGGTACTCTAGGTAGTTTGAATACAGAATACATGTATTGTTCATGCTTTTTAAATTTTCTGTGTGTTATGATGTGTTTTGACATCTTAAAAATTTTTTCTGGCTAGGGAGAGACTGTCCTACTGGGACTAACCAATTCCCAGAGATAGCAAAGGGCCCAGGCAGGAGCAAACCTTGGATATGCAAACTCACCAATCCAGATCCATACCCGCTGTCTGGCCTCTCCACCCCAGGTGGCACTATTCCTCTGTCTTGATTATCCCATGACCAGGTACCAGGCGACCAGGGACCACTCCTATAGCTTTGAACCCACTGTAATTATTCAAGCTAGCCAATCCTAAGCTGTTTACCCTGCTCCTGCAGAGATGCAGAAACTAACAAAGGCCATGGCCTTGGCTCTCCCCCCTGCACCTGGCCCTCTGCCTCCTGCCAACACTGATGCTTCCCCACGTGGCTCTGCGTGGCGTGTGGTGCCTGTGAGTGTGGCATGCCTCCTGTTTCTAGGACCTGTGAGTATAATAATCTTTGTTTCCCTGAGCCTCTCCTGTGTCTCCTCTTGTAGCCACACCTGACTGACCACCACATAAAAGAACACAGAACAGTACATTTGGGGGTTTTGGAGGGAGATGAGGTTGGAAAGGAAAACAGGCGCCATATCATTAAAGGTTTTTACATCAAGCCACAGCGTATGGAGAGTTCAACCAAGCTACATTTACCAGCTTACCTTCAAATGAATACTTCAGTACCCCCAAAGAGTGAGTGAATGGACAGAGGGGCAAGAGGGGACCTTCTGCAGTCAAACTGCTCTGGGATAATTGATGGTCTGTGGGCTGGGAGACTGGTGCTCCTGCCCGCTATTGCCTGGCTACATGGCATGGTTCACAAGAAACTACATTGGCTGTAAAAGAGGCAGAAGAGGGTAGTGGATGAAAGCATGCACTCTGGAACCAGACTGCCTGTATTCAAGTCCTGGCTCCACCACTTACTGGCTAGGTGATTTGGGGCAAGTCACGTACCTGAATTTCCTCATCTGTAAAAGGGAATAATAGTAGCTACCCCACAGAGTTATTGGAAAGATTAAATGAGTTTGTACAGTGTAGAAGAGTGCCTGGCACACAGTGAATACCACGTTAGCTATGTAGCAGTGGTGGTGGTGGTGGTGGTCGTAAGTCCCATTAATATTTAATTCTGAAAGACTCAGATTAGTCTTACCAGAGCCTGCATTAAGACCCTGTCACATTGCTGGGAGTGTCAGAAGCAGAGATAGACAAACTGCCCAACATAAAGCAATCTGGGGGCTTTAAAAAATAACTTTGCTTCTATTATAATTATTATTACAGAAGAAATGCATGGCTGTGGCCCAAGGGTAGACAACGACCAGTGGAACAGAGACTAGACACAGATCCACAGGTGTATATGGTCACTTGATTTATGACAAGGCAGGCATGCAGTGCAGTGAGGAAAGGATGGTTTTTCAATGGTCAATTGAATGTCACAACTGAAAAAAATTAATCTTTACCCCTGCTTACACAAAAATCAATTTCAGGTAAATGGTAGATGTAAATGTAAAAGGTTATATGATAAAGCTTCTAGAAGGTAACAT